CTTCAGAAATGTAGAGATCCGCCTGTTTCAGCAGCTCTCCAATGATTAGGACATTGGAAGTTGTACCATCACCAGTTATATCATCCTGGGCTGTTGCTACCTTTGCTATTAAGGAAGCTGTTGAGTGCTGAATTTGCATTTCGTGAAGCAGCACATTGCCGTCTTTAGTAAGCTTGATGTCTCCAGCGCCAGAAACAAGCATCTTCATGGTGCCCTTGGGCCCCAGGTTGGTCCTCAGCACGTCCTGCAGACCCCGCGCCGCGCTGATGTTGACCGCCAGCGCCGCCTGTGCTCGGGCCACCTCGGCCTTGGGGTTCAGGGTCTTGACCGCCGCCATAGCTGCTCCAGTGGAGGAAAAGGAAGCGACTCGGCATGCGGAAAGCTCAGAGCCGGCGCGGCGTGGCCGGGAGGCACTATCCGGGTCTTCTCTAATTTCAGTATTTTTAATAGAGACGGGGTATCACCATATTAGCCAGGCTGGGCTCGAACTCCTGACCTCATGATCCACCCACCTCAGCCTCCCAAAGTGCTGAGATTACAGGCGTGAGCCACCACACCCAGCCAGGGTCCCTTTTATAAGGGCACTAATCCTGTGCATGAGGCTCCACCCTCATGACCCAAGCACCTGCCTAATGCTCCACCTCCTAATACTGTCACTTTGGGGGTTAGGATTTCAACATATGAATTTTGTCGGGGACACAAACTTTCAGTCCATGGCACACTTCTTTCCTCCAAAACAAGTAAAAAGGTGGAAGGGGGATTTGGAAAGCAGCAAAAGGAACTCTAGAGGAAAGAAACATCCCACCAGATCTAAGACAGGATCTTTATTCTTTTATAACGCAGCAAGTATGTGCTTACCATGTGCCAAGCATGTTGCAAGAACTCACTTAATCCTCACAACAGCCCCATAGAGGAAGTCCATTGTTATCTTTACATACGAGGAAGCTGAGGTACAGATAGGTTAAGTAATTTGCCCAAGGTTACTGGGCTAGTAAGTGGCAAATTCAGAGTTTTTCACCCAGTCTGTCTCTAGAGCCTGAAGTCTGAACTCCCACGTAGACTGCTTCTAATTTTAGGCTATTGCGATCAATCCAATCCTCCTGTGTATCAGTGTCAGGCTGAATTCCACTCTCCCTCTGTCTAAATATTCATGGCTTCACTTCGCTCTCCGGGTGTCTCCTGTGAGGCTCACATTCCTGCTTGCGGTGGCTGATTCAGTCCCTACATTGTCTAGAGTCACCCACCAGTCCACTTGCCAGGCCAGGCCTGGGCAGAGCGCCCTTGGCATCCCTGGAAGAGCCTTCTGGACGGAGGATAGGAGCTTTTCTGAGCCCTTCATAATAAAATGTAATCTGAGAAAATGGACAGCGATGACAAGTCACTTTCGGGGTGGAAAGGGGATTCACAAGGAGAGATGAAGGGGAACAGGGGAGAGATTTGTTACTGCTCACACAAAATATTACAGATGTAGGGGCTGCAAGCTTGTCCTTCGGACAGGTAAGAAGCAGTGGCCAAGGCAGTGAGTGAGGGGCCTTCTCTGAGCTCTGTGTTGCAGCACAGGTGACTCCAGATGAGCAGGATGCCATGGGGTCTAATATGGTAAGGTGGACACCATGCTGGGGATGTAACCCCCCAGGCTTACTTCCCGGAAGCGACAGTCAACCTGTGTTAACATATCCTTCCCTTCTACTTTGCTCACCCAAATATCTGTTCCTAGGCATCTCAACACCACTCCTTCCCTGCCAGGGCCCCACACCCAAGTTTTGCCACCTGCGTCTTCAGGGACCAGAACAGGCACGCATGATATCTACTTCCACAGGGGAGTCAGATAAGGCGAAGGGATCCCTCACCAGGATGTGGCTTGCAAAAACGTCTAAGTGGATGGGTGAGAGACAGATTGAGGCCTGTGCCCACTCAGGTTCTCCTTCTCCTGCCGAGGGCAGAGGAACGGCCCTGCCCGACAGGTGCGGCCCAGCCAGCAGCCGACAGCCTACCTTGCTGCCATAGAGGGACCAGGATGGGAGGCGGGGCTTGGCCAGACCCTCTGAGGACCACTCATTCCTGGTTGAGACCACTCAGGCCTTCAACAGGAAAGGTTTGAATTTGTAGAAACTTCTGCAGAAACTTGGGCCAGAGAAGCTCCAGCTTGTTGGGGAGAGAGGCTGAGAGCTGAGTGGAGCAGCTCCTGGTTGCCTTCCAGAAGCATCCCTCACTGTTTTCTGAGACACAAAGTCCTGAAGCCTTTGCTCACCCAGGGACAGTCAGCAGCAACCATCATGGGGACAACAGATAGTGTGGCCAGATGACCCTACCAGCTAGAAGTAAGGTTGGAAATAGAAATTCAAGTTGGCAAACACAGACTGAACATGCAGTATGGTGCCAGGCTCCTGCGACCAAGAATAAGATTTCCCATCATGCAAGGCAGAGCCAGGGGCACTGTTTATTAAAAGAGATGCCATGCTGGGGAAGAGGCAGAAAAAAGACCCTGGGCCTGAGGAGCTGAGATGCCTGTTGTGGAGATGGCATCAGAGCTGGATCGTGAGGAACAGGAGTATTCCAACAGAGAGGGCTGGGGAAGGCATTGCCGACAGGGGGAACAGTGCAAGCAAAGGCAGAGAACTGGAAAGTCATGGACATGGGTCAGGCAGTGAACAGTCAGCCAGCCAAGATGAGCGGGAGATGCAGCTTGGATGGAAGGTGGGCAGAACCTTGTAGGCACCTGGGTGTGTCTTACAAAAATCTGGAATTTCTTCTATGGGAAATACAAGGCATCACAGGTTGACACGCAGGGGGACTGAGTGTTGAAGGAGGTAGCTAGAGATCAGATGAAGAAAGGCAGGTGAGCAGGAGGGAAGAAAGCAGGAAATGATGCCCCGTGAGCTTCCAAAGTCACTGTCCTCCGTCAACAGCACATTGGACAAGGCCTCAGATTTCAAAATGTTCAAATATGTCCATTGGTGGTCACGGTTTGAGACCTCTCTCAAGGTTCCATACTTTGTGGCACCTGGGCACCTGGCAGGGGGTGGAGGCGCTGCTGAGGAAGGTAATCAACTCCAACCTGAAGCAGGATGCAACTGTCCTGCCTAGTGGGCGGCAGCAGGTGACCCTGAGCACAAACTCTTCACGTCCATTGCTTCTCCACCAGCTGCATGCAGTTCCCCCAAGTTCCACTCAGCTGGCCTCTGACAGCTCTGACAGCAAAGTTTTGCCGTGTGAAGCCCAAATTCAGCCTATTTTCAACAAGGAGGGGAAACAAAACTACATAGAACTGGAGAGTGAACAGGTCATACGAGAGACTCTGCGGCTCTTGTCATGTTCATAGTAGACAAAGCCATTCATTCTAAAGAAGGAGTCAAAGATTTCATGGTTTTGTTTTATTTAAGTTATTCATGCATTTATTTTAGGAAACCAAATGTGAATTCAATGCTAACTTCCCTCAATTCTTCTTCAGTCATTTGCTTTAGGAATACTTTGGGAGAATAAAATAATTCCGCAGTTTGGTTGAGTTAAAAGTTCCCCAGGAGGGCCATTTTCTTCCTCTCCCCTCACTGCGATTTCTGAGCCCACAGCGGAGGGCCTGGGGGAGGAGTTGAGGCATTTGGGCATCTTCTCTTCACGACCAGCACCAGCAGCCAGGGTCCCCCTGTACTCCCCCCATTTCCGTTCCGTTCACCGTGAATGGCAGATTCCTCTGTCCGGGTCGGGTTTCCAATCACCATAGAAACAAACTGGAGGCAGTTTCATTAATCATTTAGAGCACAAGAAGTCTAGGTCAGTCTGATTGCAGCATATAGGGTATCATCTCTGGGCCACATGGGACTCAGTCGATTTGAATTAAAAAAGATTAAGCTGCTCTGGGCTGCCTGGCCCCATCAGTTTAAGTTCTCATGTAACAGTGGTCTCTGGAGCCATATGGATTAGTGAGTGAAGCTATGCATTTATGTGGCAGGATTCGGTGAAACATTAGATGGCTGCAGGTGTCTGAGGGGAAGAGGACAGGGATCACATACAGGTTTTTTTTTTATACTTGTTGCTGTTCTTTTGAAACTGGAAACAATAACTCAGTTTTATTTCTCCAGTGACAGTTACCACTCTTGCTGACCATGAAATGGTACATTTGTTACCCGGGTGGGGTTTATAGTTCACAATGAAAGGGTCGAAATGGTCTGTGAGGAACCCTGAGAAGGCTGTGTTCTCTACCTTCTCCAGGGTAGCGGATGAGGATGCTGACTTTTTTTTTTTTTCTTTTTTCTATGGAGTGGCAAGAAACGCATCAAATAAATATTGATGACATTTTAGTTTTGCTCGAATCAAGATTTATGAGCCCCAGGAAATTGACTTAGAGGCAGCTACAAATCAATGTCGCTCTGAAAGAGTTGCGTAGGGACCCCTCAAAATGAGTGCCCCCCTTCCAAAGTACCTACCTTATTTATGGGCCTCTCTGGGACTTCAAAGAAGGTCAGTAACTTAGGCCAGACCGTTTTATTGCTCATGGAGCTAAGATGTTTTAGGAGGAAGATGCAGGTTACAGTGTATTAGGAAGCCTGTCTTGGGCGGTGGGCAAGAGCTTTCTGCATATTGAACTGTCAATCTAAAACTTACCACACTCTGGCTTCCCACAGAATCATTCCTAAATCTTCTCAGCAGACCTAGTATGGTCGGAAGTCTCTGGTGATAAGCCCAAAGTAGAAAGAACTTTTGTGCTCTTCTCCCTGCAGCCCACTTTGGAGCCATTGCCTTGGACTAACAAGGAGGCAGCCGGGCCTGGTAGGAATCAGTTACAGGGTTCTGTGGGGTGTTGCCACAGGCCATCTAGTTCCAATTTGGCATTTTGTTTTTCTTCACTGTGACAGTGATGATCCTGTGTGCTTTGCTGAGAATGCCAGAAAGCAGGGACCGGTCTGGACTCTGTGTCTAGCCCATCTTAATGGCCTTTGTTCAGCAGGAGCAGCTTATGGTGGTGGAGAAGCCTGGAGTCGGGAGACCAAGTTCTCAAGCCAGCCATGCTACTGCCGCCTGGCGGTGTCTCTTTGGGCAAGTCATGCTGCTTTCTGGGCCTCTATTTTCCCATCTCTGAGTTAAGAAACTTGACCATCTTCTTCCAGTTCCAAGGTTCTAAAATCCATTCCCACTCATTGAGCACTTGATGGGTTATGAAAGAGGAGAAAATATGGCTCCAGTGTCTGGGAGTCTGTGTGGTGGGACAGGGGCAGAGCCGGCATGAGCACAAATCTTCTTATCTAGCCTCGGTCAATCTTTTCTTCCTCTGAACATCACAGCACATCCAGACAGGACTCACAATGCAGTATCCAGTAGTCATCTGTCTGCTGCAATTGCCAACATTGGCGTGGGTGATAACCTTGGCTCGCCAAGTGGCCGGCAGCCTTGCTGGGGCAGGACCGTGCCCTCAGAACCCCATTCCACCTGGTAGAGGGCTGAGCCCCTAGAAGACCAGAGCTCTATTAACTGCCAGACCTTGTTGAGAGAGAAGAAAGAAGATGGAACACAGGAAACAGGGGAGTAAATTTCCCATGAGAAAGCACCAACAGAGACTCTACAGAGAGGATATAGTAAACTGATTTAGAACCCACATGAGGGTGCTGGAATTGTGGATTTGACTTGCTAGTGGTGACTTTCAGCAAGCTGTTTAATGGCCGAAAGCCTCAGCACAGCAGGAAGATCCCAACTGCTGGGGTTGGATGTCCTGGGTACCCCGTCTCTGTCACCTGCTACTTAGTGCAAGCTTAGTCAAATGGCTTAATGTGGGGGGCTCTCTGATCCCTCCAGGATTTTGTTTCAAGAAGGAAGGACTTAAATTTGCAGCCACCGGGAGAGCTGCCTGCTGAAAGTCCTCAGCTGTCAGCCTCCTAGAGGGATTGCCTCAGCCCGAGAGAGTGATTTGCCCAGGGTCAGGCTCCCTTCCAGGACAGCCTGTTTCCAGTGAGTGACCAGGACAGGGATCCCTCTAGTGCCTTGGAACAGCTCTGCAAGGCAATCCTAGCTTCAGGGGTCCCTGGGGAGTCAGCTGAGACCCTCATTTGAACTGAACGGAAGCTCAGCTTTTTCCTCTGTCCAATCCTGCTTCCATGCCTTCCTCCTTTCACAGGTATTCATCCCCCAAAGCACTCTCTAAAACACACCCTGCCTGCTCATTGCTAATTTCCATCTCAGAGTTGCTTCAAAAGAAACCTCAACAGTGAAATTTTACAATTCTGAATCACGTGTCCTCATCTACAACACAGACAATGACGGTGCCTAGCCCACAGGGCCGGGTGCAGTTTAAATGAGATAATCCATGTAAAGCATTTCACTCATTTCCTGGCATAATGCAATCATACTATGGACGAGATATATATTTGCCTAATACAAACTATTTTGCAGATAAAGTGAGTTTGATTTTGAAGAATGATTATAAATCAGAACCCTGGTTTTTAGCTGGGCACATGACCGCTCAGAATGAAAAGGATTTTTGCCAGCTCTTCCAGAAGTTAGATGTGTTTACATGATTAAGTTCTGACCAATGAGATATATTTTTAAATGGCATATGTAATTCCCAGAGAATGTCCTTAAAGATAGGAAGCATGCCATCTGTCTTTCTGTTCTCCTTGCTAAAATATGGATGTCATGGCTGCAGCTCCAGCAGCTATCTTGGGCCATAAGGTGACCTTGGAAATGGCAACCAGGCACACCAGAGCATCAGGACAGAAGAATCGTGGGTCACCCTTACCAGCCCTGGAGCGCGTCTAGACTAGCATATGGGAGAGAAACACGCCGCTGTCGTTTTGAGTTTTCCGTTAATTGTATACAAACCTAATCCTAACTTTACACAGAGGGACTTCCAAGTGTGTAAAGAGACCATGAGCAAAGGCTCAGATGGTTATGGAGCATTCACAGAACAGTAAAGGGACCAGCCAACGGATAATAACAGTAATCCTTCATGTTCATATTGTGCTTTGCAGCTAAT